CTGGAGTGCCGTGGCACACTCATGGTCACTCCAGGGTAGACCTGTGGGGCCCCAGAGATCCTTCCACCTAGCCAGAACTACAGGTGTGCACTACCACACCCAGCCAATTAAATAAATTAAATCTATATGAAGAGTTAAGAATGGGGTCTAGTACTCGGTAAGCACTCAGCAGAAACTGCTAATGATGATGAGACGCAGGCTTAATCTGCTCCATGTTAGGATGCAGAGGGTGGGTGAATCAAGAAGGACCCAGACACATACTGATCCCTAGGTTCCTAACACTTGGTCTTGGCTATCTTGTTGCTATAAAAATATGGAACAAATTGGTTTTGAGGTAAGACATTTGTAAGCCTGAGTAGGATGCTCTGATTAACTGCAGTGCTGATGAAGCAACAGTGACCTTGAACTCTGTGATAAACATCTGGTAACATCCTTCTCTACCCCACAGCCAAGGTTCCATTGGCACATGTCACTAGCAGGCCAACTTCATCAATAGCTGGAACTTAGAAAGTAAATTCTTAGTTTAATGCATTTCTCTGATGTAGAGGATAATGAACTGAATTCTAGCAGCTAAGAGTACTGTAGCAAACTGCGTGCCTTTTCTCCCAAGTCCATTGTATCAGTCAGCACAACAGTTAACCCAACCATTGACAGAACTCGAAGACTCATTCAGAGCCCAAGAATTCTGTCTCTCTGAGTGGAAACAGAGAAATGGAGGACAAGTAGTAAACTAAGCCCAATTCTTTCTCCCAGTTTCACATGTTCTCAGTACTCTTCCTTTGCGAGTGTGGTGCTAATAGTCCTCCTTAAGCAGGTGTCTGTCAGAATAGAGAATGTCTGATAGCTGGGGCTCAAGTCTTCACTGCTTTAGGATGACAGGAGAGTAAAGATGTCACGTTGCCATGCAGATTTAATGCAATTAAAGTCCTAGGCATAGTTATACCAACCAGTATAACTGAAAGGAGAAGTAGACAGGGGTAACAAAGGGGAAGGTTGCCCTTGCAGGGGAGGGTGTGTGCCAGTGAATGAAAGGTAATGACACATATCTCTACCCGTGTAAAAACATTTATTTTTCCATTATAAATGCTAATTAAAGTTGATAAAATGAAAACACTAAAATAATATTTAAAAACCCAGAGTTGGCCGGCTCGGTGGCTCAGCCTGTAATCCCAGCGCTTTGGGAGGCCGAGGTGAGCAGATTGCCT